CCCGCGTCCCGCCGCGTCCCGCGCCCTGCTCCCGCTGCTCCCGCTGCGCCCCGCGCCCCTGTCCCGCCGCATCCCACACCCTGCACCCTGCTCCCGCCGCGCCGGCTCCGTCCTATTCCCACTATCCCCTCCTGTTCTCGCCGTGCCCCCTGTCCCCGCGCGGTCCCGGGGCTCCTTTGCGCGGCTGCGGGGCTGGGAGTTGAAGTGACAGTCACGCGTGTCGCGTCCTCCTCGTCCCTTCATCCCCCTCATCCCTTCATCCTCATCCTCCTCATCCTTCTAGTTCTTCTCATCTCCCTCATCCCCTCCTCCTCCCCTCATCCTCCTCAGACCCTTGTCCCCTCATCCCTTCATGCTGCTTCATCACCCTCATCCTCCTCCTCCCCTCATCCTCCTCCCCTCATCCCTGTCATCCTCATCCCCTCATCCCCATCATCCCCTTCTTCCTCCTCTCCCCCTCATCCCCCTCCTCAGCCTCTCATCCCCTCCTGCTGCTTCATCGCCCTCATCCTCCTCGCCCCACTCGTCACCGCCCCGTCCCCACGAAGCGGCTCCCGCTCGGTGTCGTGGCGCTGCCGCCACCGCAGGGTCACGGCATCGCGGCCGCTTCCGCCCGCTCCGGCCACAAGCGCAAAGCCCAACTGCAGATCCCGGGAAGCGGCCCCGGCCCTGCCCTTCCCTCCGCAGCACTTGGTGTTTCCAGGGGCGGAGGAGGGTTTGGTTTGGAAGAGCTGGGAATATTCATCACAAATGTCTCCATGGGGGCAAATCCGGGTTGAGGAGTCTCCTTGGATGTGTGCGGAAGCGGATGGTAGCGTTGGAGGTGGGAATCATCCCGAAACGGCGACGTTGGCTGAGTCCGGGCCGGGCTTTGCTGCCATGGGAGGACGTGGGTTCCTGGCGATGTGAAGCCCCTCGTGTCGGCAGAGCGGGAATGGGAACATCCCCCCGGCAAAAGCCGCATGTCCGGATCCACATGGGATCCTCCGCTTTCTGGGAATCCCACGGCCTGTTCCATGCGGGATAACAGCACTCGGAAGCTCAGCTGCATTCAGCTTCCTTGGCTCCAGTTTGGCAATAAGGAAGGTGTCAGTGCCGGGGGAGCTGGGGGGCAGCCACGTTCCCAATCTCTCCTTCCTCCCGGTTTCCTCCGCGCTCCCGCTTCACTTCATCATCTACCTTCAGCTACCAGGCCTGTCCGCAGGGTGCAGGGACGGCCGTGGCAGCCACTCGCTTATCCCCCTGGCACCAAGGAGGCCGGTTGGCACCAGGGACCCGGCATCCCATGGGAGCTCCCGCTTCCCACCGGGAGGCTTCCATGGAGTGGAGTCACGAATGGCTCCCTGTTCCCGCAGCCGCCGTCGGGGCCCCGCTCGCTTCCCGCTCGCTTCCCGCTTCCCAGCCGCGGCCCGCGCTGCCCGCAGATGTTTCCCGGCAGAAATTAGCTCCAGGTGGGAAGGCGCCGATGGCAGCCGAGCAGCCCCGGCACGGTGCCGGCAACCGGGGGACACCCCTCCGGGGGGTCGATCCCATGGGATGCCCAGCACGGAGCGCCGGAGCGCGGCTCGTCGTGGCTCCCCCTGCAAGTCCCAGCGCGGGGGGACAGGGACGTTCGGCCGCGTGGCCACGGGGCCGCGGTCTCCACCGGGAGCCAGGGCGAATGTCCCGCTGGCCGGAGCGCGGAGCCCAGAGCTCTTCCAGATGTGCGCGCCTGGAGCCGGCCGCCTTCATGTGCACAGCTTGATTGCCCCCAAATTACAGCTTGTCCGCAGGGAGCGGCGGCGTTTGACTTATGACCAATTTCCAGCTCTGCTTGGAACTGGAAATAGCGGCCTGGGCCCTGCAGTCAGCTTCTTCCTGAAACCTCCTTTTTTTTGGGGGAGATTTTTACTTTGTTTCCTACGAGGAGGCAGTTTGGGGCTCCAACAGTCAGCGGAGCCGCTGCCGGGCCGTGCAGCGGAGGCCGGAGCGGGGATAGGGGCCGCGGATGCGCTCGGCATCTCCATCCGGGAGCACGGAGTGGGAACGGCCCGGCGTGGCCGGCGGCCCTTTCGGGGCGCCCTCCCTCTCCGCGCTCCCTCCGGCGCTTGTTTTCCCGGCGCTGCCAAAACCCGATGGTTGGGCCGACAATTTTCGCCCTCTGCAATAGCCCGGCTGGCGGCTTCCCCCCCGCGCGGCTCCTTCCCCGAATCCCTTGCGCGGCGCCGGGCGCTGCGGCCGGGGCTGCTCCCAGCATCTGCTTGGAATTAAGGCCCGCGCGCTCCCCGCCCCCAGCGCCGCCCGGCCCCCCGGGACCCTCCGCGCGGGCTTTCCCGGCCCCGCGCCCGGCATCTCCCGGCCTCCTTTTTTGGTCGGCCGCATAGGAAGTTTATTGTTTTAGCAGCCCGCGTTCTGGAGCCGTTATTTATCCAGGCGGATTCCAGCACGCTTGGAAAAACAATCTTGTTTTTCACTTTTGGCTCCACTTTTGAGATGAAAAAAAGGAAAAGGAGGAAAAGGGAGAGATCTCCGCACTGCTCCGCGCTCCCTCCCGCCGGATCGGCCCGTTATTCCCAGCGGGTTTGAGCTCCCGATCCCTGCGTTGTGCAGGAGATGTTTCCAGCCAGCACTCGTGGCGGGGCCGGAGTCCCGGCCAAGCGTGTCCCGTGGGATGCGGCATCCCGTGGGATGCACCAACCCGCACGCAGAGGGTCCCTGCTCAGCTTTCCATCTGGAAAATATTTCTCGGGCAGAAAGCTGCCGATGGGGCCGTTGCTGTAATTGCGAGCTTCGCGTGCCAACTATTCCTGCGGCTGGAGCAATCCTTAAGGAAGGGCCACGTGGGGGGGCGGCTGTGCCAGGGCAGAGCGCGGCGGAAGGGGAGGGCTCCCCGCGCCCCGTCCCGGGCACTGCCCTCGGAGGCGCCCGCTCTGCCGCTCTCCGTGGGCATTGCCGGGCCCCGCGCGCCGGGGATGCCCGCGTTTTATCCGGGCTGCATCCCAGCCCTTCCTTATCGGGACCGTTATGTCGGCTCGGGCTGCTGGACTCCCTGCCCTCCCAAACAGGCGCTGCCGGGTTGATTTTATCGGAGGGAATGTGGGGCCGGACCCTCCCTGCACCCGCGCGCGGCTCCCACATCCCTCCTTCCAGGCCACCGGCACTCGGATTCCTCACCCCGGAGCCTGGCTGCAGATCACACGGGATGCTGATTGCATCTTGGACGGCGAGAGCTTTGCCTTTTAAGGAGGGGATTTGGGTTTTTACGGCCGAGGCCGGGGATGGTCCCCGGGGTCTGGAGAACAAAGCGGCCGCCTCCGCGCGCGGCACTCACTGCACGCCGGTCCCGGCGCTGCAGGAATCACCTGGCAGCGGCAGGAGGCAGTTCGAGGCCCACGGGCTCGTTAGTGCGTCCCGCTAATTGCCGCCCCGGGGGTTCCCGAGGGACCCCTGCTCCTGCGCCATGGCCGGGCTGGCACCGGGGACCCTTTGGTGTCGCTGCCTGTGTGTCCGGAGCAGCCGCGTCCCTGTCCCCCTCATCCTGGGGGGCTCAGCCCCACGGGGCTCCTTGCGGGGTCCTCTTTGGGGACAGCAGGAGGGGGCTGGGGAATCCCAAGATGCTCCATCCCTGTGTCCTCGGGCATCCCGAGAGGGGTGTCCTGGAATGGGGCTCCCCAAAGGGGCCTCCAGAAATGGGCATCCCGAAAGGGGCATCCCAAAAGGGACATCCTGAAACGGGCATCCTGAAATGGACAGCCCAAAAGCCCCATCCTGAAACGGGCATCCCTAAAGGGGCAGCCCGAAAGGGGCACCCCGAAACGAGCATCCCAACAGGGGCCTCCCGTAACGGGCACCATCACCGCGGGCGGCCCGGCTCACGGCGCTCGCCCTCCTCTCCCCGCAGGCTGCTGAGCAACAACAAGATCACGGTGCTGAAGAACGGCTCCTTCTTCGGGCTGCGGGCGCTGGAGAAGCTGTGAGTGGCCGCGGGCGCCGGTGCCCACCGCGCTCCGCTCCGCGCGGTCCCCTCCGCAGCGCCGGCACCCGGGAGCTGCGGGTGCCCCCGGGGTCCCCGCGAGCTGCACTGGGGGCATCCGCGGGGGGCTCCGCGCCGGGACCCCCCATGAAAAGCCGCATTGTGGCCCCGAACAAAGTCAACTTTCTTATCTCGCCATGAAAGGCATCTCTATGGCGCGGGAATAAGGGCGGATTGACGGCCCCCGTGTGGGTCGGATCTGTAGGTATGCGGAGCGGCGCCCGGCGCACTGAGGCCGGTTTGTTCCCGGCGCGGGCGCATTCCTGAGCCCCGCGCGCCCGCGCCGCCTCTCCCGCCCCAACGGGCTCTCCAGCCCATCCTCATCCTCCAGGCGCTCCCGGGGTTAACGCGGAGCCGCGGGGCGGCCCTGCCTCCAGCGCGGGGTCACCCCGGCCCTCCCTGCTGGCGCTGGGCTCTCATTAACGGCGGGATTAACGAGGAGCGGGGCCGGAGCCCCCCGCGTGCGTCCCCGGCCGCGCGAGCGGGGCCGCCGCTTGGCACCTCTGCTGACGGGTAGCGTCGTAATGAGATTAATGAGCGCGAGCGGGGCTGGAATGCGGCTCATTAGCCGCACCGGGCCTGTCCCCTGCAGCCCGCGCTGCTCCGGGGGCCTCGAGCCGCAGATAAAGGCGCTTCCATGGGAGCCCCCGGCCCCGCAACCGGTGGCCGGCAGCGCAAGCGCCGGGAAGGGCCGAGGCCCCGAGGGCGCCGGTGCCTGCGAACGTCGCCCCGGGGTCCCGAGGGGCTTTGGGGCCAGCGGGGCGCAGGGCTCTGCGGTGCGAGCGGGCGGCTGTGCTGTGCGCGCCGGCTGCGCGCGCCGGCTGTTGCAGCGGGTGTCGCGGCAGGTGCGGCACAGGCGGCCGCTCAGGTGTGCGGAGCTGTTCGTTCAGCACCGCCGCTCACCTGCGCTCCCGCCGGAGCCGCCCCGCGGATGCGGGAAGAGTGCGGGAGCCACAGGCGCTCCGGGCTGGAGCCTCCTCCGGAGCCCGGCCCCGATTAGATACCAGCCTCAACTGAGCTAACGAGCCGAGCGCTCCATGTGGGCAGCAGCGAGCAGAGCCCCGGTGCGGCCGGGATCGGCCCCCGCTGCCCGCAGGGAGCGCGGCGCTCCCCTTCGGAGCGCTGAGGAGCGGGAAGGGGGCCGGGGAGCTGCTGCGAGGCGGGGGGACGCGGCTCCGCGCGCCCTGCTCTGCCCCAGCGCCTCCGTCTCCCGCAGGGACCTGAAGAACAACCTCATCAGCACGGTGCAGCCCGGCGCCTTCCTGGGCCTCCCCGAGCTCAAGCGGCTGTAAGTGGCGGCACACGGGGGGCCGCGGCGGCGCCGGCCCCGGCGCCCACGTCCCTCTGCTCGCTCCGCAGGGACCTCTCCAACAACCGCATCGGCTGCCTCAGCGGCGGCGTCTTCCGCGGCCTCGCCAACCTCGTCAGGCTGTAAGTAGCCGCGCGCGGCGCTGCCGGAGCCTCCGGAGCAGCCGGTGCTGCGGGATCTGCGGAGGTGCCGTGCGGCTCCTCGAGCCTCCTCTGCTCCATTGCAGGAACATGTCTGGGAACATTTTCTCCAGCCTCCAGCCGGACGTCTTTGACGAGCTCCCCTCTCTGAAAGTCGTGTGAGTACCGGGCGCCCGGGTGCCGCGCATGGCTCCGGTGCCGCCCCGTGACGCCGCCGCCGCTTGCAGCGACTTCGCCACCGAGTACCTGACATGCGACTGCCACCTGCGCTGGGTGCTGCCCTGGGCCCGCAACCGCTCGGCGCAGATCTCGGACAAGACGGTGTGCGCCTACCCGCGGCACGTGCGCGCGGCGCCGCTCCGCAGCACGCCGGAGAGCCAGCTGCGCTGCGGTGAGGCCGGGGCCGGGCGCGCGGGGCCGCACAGCGCCGTCACGGGGCCTCGCGGCCACCCTGCGTGTCCCCTCTCCCGCAGCGGGCACCCCGGAGCTGCACACGCACCTGCTCATCCCGTCGCTGCGCCAGGTGGTTTTCCAGGGCGACCGGCTGCCCTTCCAGTGCACGGCCACCTACCTGGATAACAGCACCCAGATCCGCTGGTACCACAACCGGGAGCCCGTGGAGGAGGACGAGCGCGCGGGCGTCATTGTGGAGGAGAGTCTCGTCCACGACTGCACCTTCATCACCAGGTGGGGACAGGGACGGGCAGTGCCTGGGTGGCACGTGGAGCGCGGGGTGGCCCCGCGCTAGGGGACGGTCCCCTCGTGCCATCCTGCCGCCGGCTCTGCCCGCAGCGAGCTCATCCTCTCCAACATCCACGTGTCGGCCACCGGCGAGTGGGAATGCGCCGTGTCCACCTCCCAGGGCAACGTCAGCAAGAAGGTGGAGATCGTGGTGCTGGAGACCTCGGCGTCCTACTGCCCCGCCGAGCGCGTCACCAACAACCGCGGCGACTTCAGGTAGGGCCGGGCGGGACGCGCAGGGGGCACCGCGGGACCCGTCCCCTCCTGGTCCACCATTCCCGGGCGCCTCGGGGCGGCTTCCCACGCTGCCCGGCTCCAGCAGCCGAGGGGCTGGAATCCCTCTGGAATCCCAAGGGCACCGTAACCTGCGGCATAGAAGTTCCCGGCATGGCCAAGGCGGCTTCCATGGGTGCCGGGTCCCTGGGTGGCCGTGGCGGCGCGGGCGCCCGGGCGGCTCTCAGCGTGCGTCTGCCCGCGGGCAGGTGGCCCCGCACGCTGGCGGGCATCACCGCCTACCAGTCGTGCCTGCAGCACCCGTTCGCGGC